CAAATGTTTGTCCCGTTACATATTGCATTCATTCGGCCAGTTAATGTGCTTGTGTTCATTCGGGTATTGAATTGGCAGATAATGAAGTTGCAATAATATTTTTTTACCAAGGAGTAGTTAACTTCAACAAAATGACAAGATGGTTTAAAATCCACTATCCATGAATGAACTAGGTTTTACATATAAGATGACTCAATATTAGAACTAATGGAATGTGCTATTAGAGAACAATTTCAAGAAGCTTTTTACTTATGGAAAAACATACCGTAAGGAGTAACATAGATCAACTGTGCTACAATATTTAGTTCTGAAAAATGGTTAAGTTCGTAATGAGAAAGTCTTACTGAACGTCACTCTTGAAACCAAAGAACTGGAAAATGATATCTCGGCGCGGGTGCGACATCAAATGGTGCATTTACGAGAAAATATAAAACGGTAAGACGTTTTTTATTGTTGCTCGATTGCTCTCATTAGATTTGTAGCTGTAAAAAACCCCAAAATCAATAGTTCTGTAAGTCTCCAACATTTGATGCTGGTCGCATTAGTTTTAATAGACTCAACTGGCTGGAGACACTCGGTCATGCATTCGCACCAAATATATTCGAACTCCTTCAATTCTGTCTTCTGATTTGACTGCGTTGGCATTCTTCGATTGTAAAGGTGTTACGAGTTGGGGCGTTGTCAAACTCAGAATACTTGTAGCATCTCCAAATTGTTATTTGGCTTCTGAGATCTCATGAATAGCAGAGATACATATACCATCCCTATGTGCCGTTGTTACTCCTGAAGCACACAATCTCGTAAGAAATGTTGTGTGCGAATTGATTCAGACTCACTTTGTCTACATAGAAATTATCAGTTTAAGTGTTTGTAGCCGCTCAAAGTGTGAAGTCTTTTGAGAGTGGTGGTATATAACCATACAATTTGGTGAGTGTGTAACAGCTTAGGTTGGTTGGTTAAGAGTTGACCCCAAACAACCAAGCATATGCCAAAACAGTATTGTTCAAGTATTCATCCGCTTCCTTGTTTTGTATAAGCGTTATATTCCCTATTATCTTATATTGAATGTTGAGAGCCTTTGTTTGTCTGAACAGATAATCCCACGCTCCACTGTCACCGCGCCGAGATCGAAATAAAGACCTATTCACTACTTCTCTGGTTTCTTCTATCAATAGCACGAGGGTTACTTTAAGGCACGAAATTGGTGAGCCGTTTTTGAACGCAAATTTAACCTCATTTCTGTTATTAACATTTTTTTTTACTTAATCGTAAAAGTAGACCTGATTATCCGTAAACTAATTTGAGTATATAACCAGTTTATTCCGTATTATCTCAAGTTATTCGTGTTATAGTAACCACTTTTTGTGCTAACTTTATTGCTATATTTGTCATATACCTCATGTCAGACTCAATAGAAACCCATAATCTGGAGGATTTGTCACCAGTGGAGATAGACACTGTTATGACTACGAAATCCCGACTTCCAGAATTTGATCGTAATGATCCTGAGTTGTGGTTTGCTCAACTAGAGCATTATTTCACGAGACACAATATCAAATCTGAAGGGATTCGCTATAGAGACTTGTGTTCTATCCTTCCTCCTTCAGTCGCCAAAGAAGTCCGTGACTTGATTTTAAGTCCACCATCACCACAACCATACACCATATTAAGACGAGAGATAATGAACCGTTTATCATTATCAGATAGTCAAAGAATCCAAAGACTTTTTCAAGGTGAAACACTAGGTGATCGGTCGCCGTCACAGTTTTTACGTCACCTCCAAGTCTTAGTGGGTGATAACACAGTGGGTGAAGCAGTCCTAAAACAAGGATGGATACAAGCTCTCCCATGCTACGTCCAACACTGTTTGGATGCACAGGATCCTGAAACCTCATTATCTCATTTAGCGCGTATAGCCGACAGAATAATGGAAAGAAATCCTCCAACTGGATCAGGCATAATAAATCACACACGAAAAGTAGAATCAGCAAAAGACCCCGTAATAGAAGGACTCATTGCGAGTGTTAAGAGTCTCACTGAGGCGGTCACCAGAATGCAAATGGGTCATAGAAACAGGAGCAGGTCACCACAACGACCACGATCCAAGTCACAAAACAGGTCACAAATGTCCAGACAATCTGGGCAGTTTTGTTGGTACCACTGGAAGTTTGGTGTCAACTCAACCAAGTGCATGCAACCATGCGCCTGGCCTAAGCGTAATTCTAAGTCAGCGGGAAACGAGTAACCCCTCCCCAGGTCGCGACGACTGAGGAGGGGCGCCTAAACAGTCGCTTGTTTTATGTTAGAGACAGAAACTCGGGCTTGAATTTCTTGGTGGATACTGGAGCTGCTCTTAGCATCATCCCTCAAAATAAAACTGAGATTAGTCGAGAAACATCATCAGTTACACTTCAAGCTGCAAATAAAACTAAAATCGTGACGTTTGGGCAGAAAACTTTAACCCTAGATTTGGGGTTCAGGAGGCAATTCCCTTGGGTTTTCACGGTAGCCGACTTAGATCTGGCAATACTGGGGATGGACTTTCTAGAGAGATACGAATTTCTAGTTGACACCAAGAAACGGCGATTAACACTAAAAGAAACTTCGTATTACACAAAAGGCAAAGAAAGTCACATCAGCTCTCTTAACTTGATTCAAACCCCTCCAGTAACAACAGCGAAATTCCAAGATATACTCGCGGAATTTCCAAACTTAACTAAACCAAACCCACAGCCTTCCAAAGACAAACTAAAAGTGAGTCACACTATCAAAACCGAAGGTGCACCGGTGTTTGCAAAACCCAGGAGACTAGCACCAGATAAGCTCAAAATCGCTAGGGCCGAGTTTGATTATATGCTACAATTGGGTATTATCCGTCCCTCTGATAGTCAATGGGCATCCCCTTTGCATATGGACCCAAAGAAGAATGAAGGTGACTGGCGACCGTGCGGGGATTACAGAGCCCTAAACTGTCAAACCGTACCTGATAGGTACCCAATACCTCATATCCAAGATTTCACCAACGGTTTACAGGGTATGAACATATTCACTAAAATTGACTTAGTCAGGGCATATCACAATATTCCGGTGGCTGATGAAGATATTCCCAAGACAGCTATTACTACACCCTTTGGCTTATTCGAGTTTGTACGCATGCCATTCGGCCTGAGAAATGCGGCACAGACATTTCAAAGATTCATAGATAACCTACTTCGAGATATGCCATTTGCGCAGGGGTATATAGACGACTTGTTAATTGCCAGCCCCGATTTGCAATCACACGAACAGCATGTACAAGCAGTGTTGAAAAGACTGGATGAACATGGAATAAACATACATCAAAGTAAGTGTGTTTTCGGTGTTCAAACTTTAGAATTTCTCGGTCACACAATAAGCCCAGAAGGGATTGAACCTATAAAAAAAGAAGTGGATACTATCAAACAATACCCCGTACCTAGTTCTCTAACACAACTGAGAAGTTTTCTAGGCCTAATTAACTTTTATCGCAGATTCATACCAGGTTGTGCACAATTAATGCAACCTTTGACAGATTCACTTAAAGGAAAACCAAAAGAATTCAAACTGTCTTCTGACGCCATCGAAACTATTAAACAGCTTAAAGATAAACTGGCTCAAGCAACTACGTTGATATATCCGAATTCTCTTTCCCCACTTGCTTTGATGGTGGATGCTTCAGATAAAGCAGTAGGCGGTACCCTTAACCAACTGTTTGAAGAATTGTCATATATGTTATCATGTTAATGACTGTCGAAGACCAAACTTCTACAGATGTAAGGAACATCTTCAATCGATATTGCCAAATCGAAGGTATAGATCTTTCCTTTCATGGATTCAGGTGGTGGTAAATTAAATCCGAAAATGAAATCCCTGCTGAATTCATCAGGTATTTATCATTCCAAACTTTTTCCTACAACTCATTGTAAGCATTTTCACTAATATGATTAAACTACGGAGAATTACACGAAAATTACCAGATGCAGCTGCTGCGCTTTGCACCTTCGAAGTGCAAAGTACTCCTACAAGACTGGCAGGATTCCAATCCTGTACTCACCCTGGATGGTGAGCAGATAGACGTAGTCGAGAAGTTCGTGTATCTGGGTAGCTGCATAAGTGCTGGTGGGGGTGTGAGTGATGAGGTCAATGCACGTATAGTGAAAGCCAGAGCGGCTTATGCCAATCTGGGCCAACTTTGGCGCATTCGTGATGTTAGTCTGGCTGTAAAGAGTCGGATCTACAACGCGTCGGTGAGAGCAGTTTTGCTGTATGCATGTGAAACCTGGCCTCTCCGAGTTGAGGATGTTAGACGACTCTCTGTGTTTGATCATCGCTGCCTCTGAAGGATTGCTGACATTCAGTGGCAACACCATGTCAGTAATGCAGAGGTTCGAAATCATGTGTTTGGGCACAGAGACGATAATTCAATTGGTGTCACCATCTTGAAACATCGACTTCGGTGGCTTGAACATGTTCTCCGAATGTCGTCCCAGAGAATTCCAGGTCGTGCATTATTTGCCGACTCTGGGACTGGTTGGAAGAAGCGGAGAGGTGGTCAGTGCATGACATGGTGTCGTGGCATGGAAGAAAGCTGCAAAGGACTGGCTTGTGTTGGTCCTTCACGACTCCCTGGTTGGGGTCTGAGAGATGGTGCTACACAGTGGCTAGAGACGTTATCAGATATGGCTCAGAATAGAAGCCAGTGGCGATCCTTCTGTAACCTTCTTTTACTTTCTTCATAAAAAGTGGTTGTGTCTCCCTTACCTGAAAGATTTCTACCGATTGTACCTTTGCGTTCCCTGATTACTAGCACATTACCATACACCGATCTCTTCGTTATTGTTCTCTTTTTTGCGCTCCTTAGCTTTTTTTTTCTTTGTATTCCTCTCGAATTTTCATTGTTTTGTGTGGCGCATATATATTGGCGCTCTCTTGTACCAATATTCATGTGTCCAAATAAATAAATAAATAAATACACGAAAATTAGGTGGGATAAAGAAAAGGTAGTGTATTATATAAGGTATACAAACAATTTATCACTTTAAAATGTTGCGAATACTATTTTGGCAAATACATAATGATGACGAACATACACTATCATAAAATATAAAATACAACAACTGTAGTAATGAACTGATAAGTATAAATAAATTGTAAATATAAAAATATCCGAAAACAATAACATAATAAAGCTTATAAAATAAATATAGAATTAGTAAACAAGCCGGCTAATAATTAGTATACAATATTTTAATATAATTGTTTTAAAGAATAAAGATACACAGCCTTCATAAAATGTAGTGTAGTAATTGCAAAAATTGAAAAAAAGGAATGATCCCAATACAAGAAACAGGAAGTGTAGGAGTTATTAAACAATCAAACAAAATAAAGTACTGAATAAATGGTATTAATATGGGAAAAAAAGAAATATTTCAAAACAAAAGAAGTAAATTAATATTAAATAGTAACTACAAACACTATTGAATTGGTTTTGGGATGGGAATTTGATGTAAGTCACATAGGTCTAACAGTAATTTATGTGTATTTCTTCGTTCAACAGCATATCTGTAAAGAAATTCAAGCAATAGAAACAAGGAGTGAAATAAACTTCAGGAAAATTTCATTAATTATGCGAAATGGTACCTAAACAGGAACCAAGGGCCAGTAGAATAAATAAAATTCTATTGGCTATACATTATTACAGACCTGTTTCAATAATTTTAAGCGTATCCCTTAACCTAGTGACCAAACATTTATAATAATATTATACTCGGCGTACAATTTTTGTCAAACTATTCGTTCTAAAATTGACGAATAATTGTATGAATTTATAATAACAGTGAAGATTTGAGTATTTATTTATTCAGTTTATGTTGTAGATAATATATTTGAATAAAGGGCTTAAGAGTAGTTTCAATTATCATCTGAACGATGAACTTATTTATTGAAATTTGAAAGTAAGTGGCAAGAAAAATACTATAAGTAAAGATAGCTTTAAAGTAAAATTGTTCAGCAACTGAGGTAGAACTTGTTAGGATATTCAGGAAAATATCCCAAAAATTATCCTGTTAAGCCTAATGCTATCCTTGGACATGGAATGGTATAATCTTATTGGTCAATATTTGTTTAACGTGTCATTTTCCTACTGGCCATTATTGTACAATGTTATTTTCTAATTTATGGTACGTTGTGGTCTGCTTGACTGGTATATAAACAAAGTATGTTTGGAATATAATGATTCATATATCCGAGGCTGTGACTTGTGTTCTGGACTTAACTGGCCGGGTTATACAGGAAGGCAGGACCAATCAGAACCCTAGGCCGTTCTAAGTTTTCGCGCGTCTTTGGTCCGATCAATAATTCGCTACTCTTAATCCGCAGCAAATATTTTTCACGTCATAACAGAACTACAAACTACAAGTTTTTTACTTTGGTATTCATTCAATCAGGTTGTAGTGATTTTTTAAATTTTGTCGAAGAAATAGAGCGTAAAATAACCACCTGTATAAAAAGAATTACCAAACTATTTGATTATCTGACGACTTAGAATGAATATGTTGTAAGAGCAAACAGGTTTATAAAGTCTACCGCTGAGAACCCATTTCAAAGTTGTACAGATAGCTTCATTTGGGACAATGTTACTGGAAATTTAAGAAATAGCTATCATTGTATACAAACAATGGGGATAATGAAGATCTATGTAAATATCTTAGGAATATGACTTTTTAAGTAAGGTAGAATGAAAGTGAAAAACATTATAAGAAATCTGCTAATTTTCTAGCAAACTTTACTTTTAGGGGTGGACAAATACACACGCAACAGAAATGATACAAGAGTTAATCAAACAGATAAACTATAACTGGACATTATATTTTATACATCAAAAATAATAATTATTTCACTGAAATTATAAATATGGTGGCAAGATAAATAATTTGAAATAAAAGATAGAAGGACATGTGCTTTAATGGCATGAAAATAAAGATTCATTTCATGATAAAGAAAAATATTCCCTTTGTTAGATTTTTATTTACTCAATTTACATTGGAAAAATCTCGTTAATTAAGTCGAATAACCCTTATCCACATCAAGAGAGAAACATATCAGTAAGGGAAATCAACATGATTGTTAAAGATCTAGATTTAATGGGCAAAACATTAGCATTAATCAACTAATATCGGGTTATCAAAGCTTAGAAAATTTGTTAACAATTTAAAATCATCGGTTATGAAAGAATCACCATGAGGATGAATGAAAAATAGCATTACTGCGATGGTGGTTGTATAGTAAAACAAGTTATTCTCAGTTATTCTGCATTTGCTTATATTCTTGGGACAGTGTTAATTCGACAATAGCATTAAACCCCTAGTTCTTAGCGACGTTTAAAAGGTCGTAGTAATTAAATGGAACAAAAGGAGAAGAAAGTATTGACATGTCAGTCTAAGAAAATGGTAGTTCAGGGTTATTACAAACCCTATGATTACATCACGATCTAATGGATAAATAAAATGATTTCTGAGCAGATTTGCTTGAATGTGTGAAATAAGATGTAAATTTACATGTAACTGATACACAGAGATTGTTCGAAATTAAAGTTTCTGGAGGCTGGGAATTGAAAATCTTAGAGTAAATTTCAGATTTGATGGTGGATGTTTCGACCAGACATCTGAAAACGCTTAGGTTTACCTGGATATGTTCATACAACCGTAGGTGGGATATAACTTCATAGATTATGAAGTTTCATGCTGAAACGGTTCGCTGTAAATGGGATTTAGAATAATTATGATAAATTTGAATCCTCTTTTTAATTAAAAAATCCTCCCTAAATTCCTTTCTTACTGTACTAATGTGAGATGTGACAACTTGGGTCGAAGCACATTCTACTTTGCCTATAACTGTATGACAGATGAAAAGTTTTACTGTGGTTCAACCTTGTACAATGAAAATGTAACCTTTCGTTTAACACATAAAGTAGTTTATACAATGAATTTCACATCTTAAGGTATCACCAGTCAACTAATCCCACGTAAAAAACCGAAAAAAACGTGATAGTAAAAATAAGTGGGAAGTGTGGAAAAATTAAATTTGAATCAATGATGAAAACTGTTTTATACACTTAGCGAAAATATAAAAAAAATGTGAAAAGCTAATAAGTTGTCTTTTTTTCAAGAGGAAGTAATAGGATTGGTATGTGCAAATTTTTGTATACTCCGTGCAGAACATATAGATTAAAGAAAAGTTATGCTCACAGCAATAGCAAAAAGTGATTGAGCTAACCCGAAATTATAGTTGGATTATTTTTCCCGTATCTTATGTTCTAGAATATAAACACATAACAATTATTATACATATATGAAAAGTTGTGAATTATTTGTATACCGAGTAACTACCAGATGAAATCATGATAGGATTTTGACTAAGTAGTATATTGGTAATAAAGAAGCAGTAAGATCTGAAAATCTTAGAAACAACACCGTATAAATTATATGATATACACAACTGGAGGATAATTCTGAAGTAGGATTGAGTACCTCCTGTCGCTTAATTGGACACAATAAATGATGTAAGTGTTTATGAAAAAGACTAATAACGACAGTTAGTTATTATCGATCCACAGTATGATGAACTTTACAATGAATTCATATACATGAAATAAACAATTTACTAGCTGAGTTAACAATAACTTAACAAATATAAGAAGGCATCTATATACATTGTCGAATAGAAAAAAAAATTAAAATTGACTGTGTAATTTACATAGTTCATACAACAATAATGAATAATCTTGTTAGATTTTTTCAAATATTGGACAGCTTTCATATATAAAAGATCGAATATGTTCATTTTTAATGCAAACAAAGCGGGCGCACAAATACACTCATGTTATTCTGCATACAATGACCTACAGAAAAACTATTTTTTATATTGATTTATATCAATATATTAGAAAATAGAAAACGAAAAGCAGTCAACAGAGCAGAAACGTAGAAACACTACATTCCATATTTTTTATACAATAGAAGAAACAATAAACTACGTGAATACACTCATGTTAATTGTGTTGTGTGCAAATACTGTTGGTTCACAAATATCTACTCAGGAAGATTGAATTTTTGTATGAAATATGTATATATATACGTTTGTATACGCTTATATACAACTGTCAGTGAGTTAAGAAAAATGCTGTTGAGTGGATATACTGGTTGAACTAACCATCTTTCATATGGATAAACCAAATATATTGCAATGAAAACCAAATGTACAACAGTAAACAAGGTAGACTCATAAAGTTTATGAGTATCACAGGAACAAATGTCAAGAATTCAATTAAATAATATGTACTAACCTGGTTCCAGGTGAAATTTCAGTGGTGGATGAAGTTGCCTTTTCAAGTAAAAAAATCAAATATAAAAATCAGTCACTAAAAGCTGGACTAAATGATTACTTCTACGCTAAGAATGCTGAAAGACATCTATCGATCACATTGTAATTAGGCTATTGACTCAAGTAGTTTAAAATCGCGGTAAACTATGTTTGATGTTAGAGATGATTACTAGAAAGTCGAGGAACTGGATTTTATACTATCTGGGACTCTTCAGTAAGGTGCAATCTTCAGGAAACTAATGCTTTATTGTGGGATTGAAATCAGTGTCGTTAATGATTACTTGCATAAGCGTCAAACTCAGATTAGTTGATAATTCTTTAGTAACCAACTTTATGTTAAAGGACCTTTGATTTTGAACGAATTTTATGGGCAAAGTTTGATTGTTTAGTGAAGGAGTCTATAAGAAACTGAATGACAGAAGGTAGGATTCATCAGATAATACCAGTTTCGATACTGTAAATACATTTTGTTGATGAAATTCAACTAGCAAGAATCCTAAGTCTGTCTTTCAGCCAATCTTCCCTAACCATAAAAAATAAATGAAGAATATAAATGATACCGACTAAGATAAATGGTGAAACTATTTATTTATTGGTGGAATCAATAAGATATCAACTGTACGGAAAAGAGACTCGACCACACGCGTTTGATTTTAAACGCAAATGACGGCATTTTATAAATTTGGAAAAAATAACTGAATAGAACTGATTACAATCTCATGAGCTAACCAGAAATGTATTAAAGCAAGCTATACTACATGATGGCTAAAAAACAGCCTCAACATCAAAATTTCGAAATCGTTCCAGGGCTGTATAACAAGCATATTTAAGATAAGTGACCATTTTAAGAACTCTGAAGCTTATTTATCTATACTAGTAAGACTAAACAATAAGCTGTTGAGATATAAGGCCATTATCTTCATATTTCTAACACATTTAAGAATAGCACCTGAGAATCAACCACATGAACAGACAGATGCTTGCCATATCCAATCACTGTTGTCTTTTATATTTCAGTAAAATAACGATTTGTAATAATTGTACAACAGTATGTAATGTCCTAAATAGTTTTCACAGTAACTAATCATTGAAATCTCAGTATTCGGTTTTATTATGCTTTTAGCCATGAAACTGGGAAAGCTAAAAATGTTAAGAAAATAAGATGGGACAAAATGCAGTTGGGATAAAGTCTTTTTTAAGTGACCTATATAGTTTAAAAGACAATATATCTAGTACACTTTGTGAAACGACGATTCGACTTAGCTTTTAAACATTCTCAAGGATATAAACCAATTACGATTTTTACACAAACTATTAGCTAAAACTCTCTATCCATATTAACTTGTGAATTTTTTTGTTTTGAGTTAACAAGATAATATTTAATTTAGACTATATAATATAAAACGTTACCTTTGAAGGAACACTATAAGCCAATTGAATCAAATTCAATATTTCTAAATCATTTTTTGACTTTGCCACATCAAGAGCATTTTTGTCATTCTATTAAGTTAAACAAATAAAAAAACGTATAGTTAATAATAATCACCTAAACTATTTCATTGTATGCATTTTTAACAAAAGACTTAATTCATAGCATGTAATTATGATGGACAAAAAGAGATAACAGGTATGTTAGTATAACAAATATGAAGGCATGTGCCGATGTTTTGGATTTAAGTACTTGTAGCGCCTCGTATTTTGTATAATTCTAACAAATTTAAGAGTAAAGTTGTGCATTTGCACTTAATAATACGCCTGAAACTACTATAATGTAAACTGGGTCCGGAACTAACAAATAAACTACACAACAGATTAAAAATTTTTAGCAAGAATTCAATGAATCAAACTAATATAATTTCAAAATGGTAATTGAGATAAAACGATCACCACAAATAAAAAAAGTATGGTTCATATCACTCGATTTGAAATTTTAATTGGTGGATAAAAAGTTGGGTTTCTATTTACTTTGATGGTTCATAGGAAGCAACTGTTTTGAATTATTCTTCGACTCATTTCAAGATTTAATGAAAAATGTACACTTTTGTAAGCAAATATTTTAAGATAGCCATTTTAACTAATGAATAACTTGTCATCAGTGTAAATTGACAGACCGTTAGCCTAAAAAAAATACAAACTAAAGGATAAAGCTATCTAAAAAAAACTAAACCAAACAACTGGACTTGATTATAGGTTGCTTCATCGGGATCCAAGGGTTTAGTACTGTATTTTCATAATATAACAACTGTTGGAGACTAGTTATATTCAACTCATGAGAAAATCGATATTTCTGTCAAACAATCACTGCCAATTAATTTAGAGTCTACCAGAGCAATGTTTTATCGGTATTTTGATATGATTCACCATGCATTCTTGAGTTTTAATCATTACAAAAAAACATATCACAATATGACAATGTTCTTTTCTATTAGGCGGTAATTTAATTCAAGTGTTGCATTCAATGTGCCTGTCATATATACAAGTTACGGATGAGTAAAGATGCTAAAATTTTTAATGTAACTGTCTACAAAATCTATCTATTACTGAATAGTTGTCAATGGACTTGGACTAATAAAACAATATGTAGTCATCAAAGAAGTCAATTGAAAAGGTAGCATTGAATTTTACACTTTATTATTAGTTAATTTTTGATGAAAACATAAAAAAACTGAGTTTTAGCGGTTGCAACTTGTAACGTGTACTTTATATTAGTAACTGGAACTTTTTTGTTGAGGAAATGAAAACTAAAGACAGACTATACAATGCATTCAGTTTCTAATTGGTTGCCAAAATACACTTTTAGTAGGTGTTAATAAATAATAACATAATTATAATAAAGATTGCTAACAAATTAGAAAGAAGTAAAGACAACAATGTTTGGTAGAACAGAATGAATCCATTGTATGTTGTTAAATTTCTCTTTTTAGTAACATTCAAGTTAATAAACTTTTATTAGTATTTAGGGTCTCATAACCTTTGAACTAGGCATCTAATGGTTTACATAACTAATCCCAAGCAATTCACGATTTAATGAGGCTGTCATTTAAAATCAGTGGTGGATCACTTCCCCACAACCGATATGGATGGACTACAATGGCCACAGCTTGACACTAGGACTCTGGAAGTTGCCTGTTACTAGTGGGAGCATGGTTATGACTGATATAAGAGGTTTTTGGATACTGAATTTTGTGGTTTACATCATATAGTGAACTTAGTTAGATAATCAATAAAGATTAGTAAGCACTGGATAGCTAACTGAGAGATAACTGAGGAGTTCCAGTGAGGAGCAAGCAAGTGAGTGTAAGGTAGTTAGCCATTAATGACATTGGAAAGTGATTACTCAATATAGCGAACTGATTGAAGTTAAAAATGTAAACTATTTAATGTTCATTCAGTGATTTAAAGGTTAAGAGCTCGCTGTAACATTTGAAGGTTTAGCGTTCTACCCTTGGTGACGTAGTGAGTACGCACTGATAAGTCGTACATCAGGACAAAACAGCCGTTTAGTGCTTCCTAGTTTTCAATGGTTGTCTAAATAAGGTCAGTCAATAAAAACAAACAAACTAGACGTCTTAAAAAGGTTTTTAAGCATGTTATGTTGTTTCAATAATTAAACTAGTTATCGCTGAAATGAAAAGAATCAAAAGAAGTGAAAAAACAAATCTATTCTTACGTTATCGACCAAAGTTAAATCTAAGTCTCTACAACCAAGGAGACATTTTACGACATCGACATGACCGTGTTCTATTGCATACATTAAGGCAGTATTACCAGAAGCATCTTGAGCATTTATGTTAGCACCATGTGCAATAAGCAAAGAACAAATATCTACACCTCCATGTAATGCAGCTAACATAAGTGGAGATTGGCGAGCAGATGTATTTGTGCAGAGATTAACATCACCCATACTGAATAGTCGACTAAGTGTTTTTAAAGCACTAGAATCAGTTATCTGTAAACAGTAAAAATTATTAAAGAAAATTATCAAAATATGAGAAATAATGATTAAAAACATACAATAATTATACTTTTACTGATAAGTATTTCAATTATAAAAACAAACGAAATTGAGAAAATACGAATGTTTTTTTGACTGATGCAACGGGTAAAAACAGAGAAATCAATATGATTTCTTCTGGTCAGTTTTATGTTTATTTCTAAATGATGTTATGGGCTATATGTCCCGGGGAAAATATTTTAAGATTTTTAAATTTATTTGCTACGATCATAAAATTCTTAGAAGGAAATGAGATTTCAACTTACATTACTAAGCGTAGCAATCATAATAGGTGAGAATCCAGATCGATTAATATGATCTGGATGAGCATGTCCAGTATCCAAAATCAGATTGACAACTTGCCAAGCACCATGACCAACGGAATAGTGCAGACAGGTACTGTTCTATATTTGCAAGAAAGAGGATAATGAATGCATTAAAGCGATATTATTTTAATATACATATATACTTGTGAAAAATGAAAGTATGAGGGATGTATGAAAATTGTAGCACCAACACAGATTTAGCTACGATCAATTCGTGATTTAAACTGAGAAAAAATGAAAGTCACAGAAAACTGTAAAATTCGAAAAATAGTTCTACAGAGGAAGGATTATAAACAGTTAATTTTCTTTCATTTTGCTTGCTTAAATTAAGTTTTAGAGGATAATTCTACATACTACTTACTACAAATTTGATATTTCTAATGTTAAGTGAAATATGTTTTAGGTATTTTCTGGAATGAAATGATGGTGTATTACTTGTAGTGAATAGATAATGCACAGACAGAAAATAAACTCACAAAGTTTCATAGGAAGGAAATCTCCACTGAAAAGAAGGCAACTAATATTACCCATATTGATAAAGCAATTATTTGGTTAAAAACTATGATAAAAAACAAACCACAGATAATATACCAAACTGACGACCTTAAGACAAATAGGACCGATTTATTAGGATGAGGTAGCGATTGTTGAATATATGAGCGGTTTTTAAAATAGGATTACGGATATTCTACCATTTTATGTCATGTTTTTTGGACGACGCTTCTCATTTTAACTAGCCTGGATGATAATGGTTGCAGACCACCTACAGAATATAGGACCATCGAGAAAAAGAATACTATGTATCTATGGTCAGGAAATGACACGCAGTGAAGGTACAGAGTTCGGAGTGTTAGGGTTAGTGTTATTTTTTATTGCCCGTCAAATATCACCAATTAGAACACCAACTTATACGACCTAGTCCCTGTACGTTAGCCATCATGACTAGCTTTAAGTCAACTCTGAGTCCTTATTGGTACATTGTATAGTAGCTTCTCACCTAATCCATCCAGTTCAGTCCAGAACACAAATATCAGCCTTCACTATAAGAATCGGATATTTCGGATATACTCGGTTTACATACAAGCAGACCAGATCGCATAACACCATAAAATGAAAAATAGCAGTTATACAAAATCAAGCCAAAAGTGGTTTTGAATGTGAGAGACTGTAACTAATAGATTGGAAATAACTTAAGAACAGTAAATCATATAATAATAACCAATAGGTCTAATGAGAGCTTATGATAAAAGAAATATAAATATATATAACCTAGCTACTCAATAGTTATATGATAAATAAATAAAAATATACATAGTAACAGTCCAAAACTAGTTTACAGAATTTACCCATAATTTAGTCTTCTTAGAATACAACAGTTAAAACTATTAAGTTTAGGATGTTTACGGTTAGGAGTTTTACGTTTAAGATAATAGAGATAGAGTGGTAGCATCCCGAAAGCCTAAATCTTTTGTGATTTTATCGTTTTTACGTAACATTCATTTCATTGACAGAATCTGCATCCCGATTGATTAATAATTGACTAGTTAGTATCGAGATTACTCCTAGTATCGTCCAAGACTGCCAATATGCTTTCAGTTCAAGCAAACAAATTATAGAGAAGTTATATTTTGTTTCGATTGGAGGCTCAAAGTGCATATGATAGTGAATTGTTAGAACCAGTGTGCGATTTGTTGAGGGCCAATTTGAAATTTTATGATGCAAATAAGCTTCGGCTCATACTAGTTTATTCTGTCCTGTACATTGCAAACTGGATCACTAGCCGCAAGATTATTTATTTCATTTGCTGACCAAAAACCTGTCCATCACATAACCTTGTTACCTATATGAGAGAGGATTTTATATCAGCATATTTTGTTTAAGAATCACTGGTTTTCAATAGAAAAGGTTTAGTATTGCCCCTATTAGGATGAGACATGATGATGTTGACCTTAAACACATCTGCAGAAAGCTTATATGAGTGAGACAGTGTCAATAGTATCGACTTTCATGATTTCATTCCTATAAGTAGAAAAATATCCAAACAGTAGTAATAAAATTCATTGTTTCATTACATTTAAAACTGGTGACAAAACTTTCAAAAAACATGTTTGCCTTAACTTAGATTATGTTAGTATGTAAGCCACAGATTTAACTGTGGGTTATTCACGTTATATCCGAAGTCTCAAAAAATTTACAACCGAAATGCATGAATTCGGCAATGAAATATTTGTGACTACCTGTTGAAAGTCTTTTATACGAACTTTTAGTACGAGTTACATAACACTATATTGTGAATTCATATTAGTATGGAGCATTAAGACTTTATTACTAACGTATAAACCCTTTTAACAATGAAACTTTTTCCTCTCTACTGTTTTGTTTATTATTTATGAAGGCTTTAGACGGATTACATTTTGATCTACAATACCTATACTCGTGTTATAAAGTCACATGTTTTTTAAGGTAAGTCAGACAAACAGTAATCTCTCATTGAATTATCTATAAAGTTAAAATTAATACACAATAAATACAATCAAAACAACTTTTTTACAAATATGATGTAGATAGTTTTCATTGCGATAATCATTTCGAATTTTATTTTGATAAACATTATCGACTGTATCACAGTTTCAAGATTAGAAAAAGGAGAGAGAGAGAGAGAGAGTATTCCTAACGAGTAAGTACTAACAATATAATGAATTGATTGTAGGAGGCTAAACAATAACTATAATAACAATAATAATTCATTTTATAACTAATAAATGTTAGGAATTTGAGTTTAGATGATCGATCATTTGTTAAAATAATTATTTACTAATGAGGAGGTAGTTAGTACTTTACAAAGTTTAGTACACTTCATCGATTGTATACTTGTATAAGTGCACATACTATGTGTAAAATTTATCTTCTTTAAGATATATATATAACTACAGAAACAAACACATCAATTATTGTATGATTTCTTTAAATGATTCTTCTCATGAATGAACTCAATATTTCATAAACCAAAATATTTTATTGTTCTAAATTGGGTATATCGACTAAATGACATTATTGGTTTTAATAAAACTCTGCAATTGTATGTTTATTTTCAAAGTCTTGATTTATTTAAATGTAGATGACATCACTATTAAAAGAAATACTTTAAAATTTGTAACGAAACTAGGAGTATATACAAATATAACCTAATGACTTGGAATTTTTTGCTATAACTGATGAAGATAAAAGTTTTCAGTGATGATATGGCATTTACTAAATTCAAAGTGATTTTACGGATAAGAGGAAATCGTTGCTGGTATGTTTGCCATTATTACTATACTTCGTATATTATTCGACTGAACAATTGCTATTACTGTAATTTCTCAATAGTGTATAATTCCCAGAAGGTGAAACATCTCATTTCAACGAACAGATAAAATCATGGTGCCAGAAAGCACATGGCATGGGGGATAAGTGAACACAGCTTGAAAAGTGAATATGTTATGTGTATGCCAATGAGTCGCCAAGTTTTTGAGCAATCAATAAACGGATATAGCAAACAGATGCGTAGGCTGATATATGAATTCAGCCATATATTGTGGTGAATGCTATTCATAAGAATGCTTGTAAGTAGTATGTAGCGGAACGTGCTGTCAAGGTTGTCACAGTCATCGAAAGGAGAGAAGAGTTTCAGTAGATTGAAAGCACGGCACAGGCAGAAGAAGACAGTTCGGATTGCAGAACAAACCGAAACAGGAAAATGGATGATCGAAGACTGTATATACGTATTACGTAAAGGCTTTGTATACGATGTTGATTAGTTGAAGTAGAATTATAAACTTCACCTAGTTTTTTCTTATGTTCTTAGTTATAATGAGTAAACACCTATATGAGAACAAAATATTGAAGAGGGGAAGAATAAAACATACGTTTTCATCGATGGATTGAATTACATCGCGTAACAGAGATGGTGAATGATCATGAAGAATTGCAATGAAATCTTCAATGCTAAGTAAGTCTATTTGTGATGCTGCAGCAAGTTCAAACCAAATTTTCACTAAAGTCAGAAGTTTATCTTTCTACAAGGTTGAAAATACAAACAGGGAAAACATGAAGAACAACATAAGTCTTCGAAACAAATGATGTAATAGTTGGAAAATCTAATGACATAAACAGAACAGACTGATGAAAAAGTTGTTTCACACCCATTATTATTGTCTTAATTTCGCATGAATAAGGAACGTTTTCTGTAAGAAACCTGTGGTCTCAAAGTCGATATTACCGGATAATTTCATTAAGATGCCTTGGTTACCTTGGAGTACGTTGATGACTTTGTTCCACGAAGTAAGGATGCCGAGAAATTGCAAGGGCAACACTTCAAGAGTCCAGTGTAACAAAAATTATTTCAACTACCAAAAGTGAACTGGTTGACCGCATTCAATGATTCATTTATTGCCCGACTATTGCTGCTACCTTGACGTGGCGGTCGAGCTTGCCCAACGCGATGAGCCAACCGGAACTATACTGGCTAGATCTTAACATGCCAGGCAGATCGGTCGAAGAGCGGTAAGACTGAAAGCAGCAAATCTAAGGTTCGATAGTGAAGTCGTACCGCTGACTATACAGAGATGTGACGACAGCAAGGTTCTTCCTTCAGACAACCAGCATAACAGCGATGCTGACTTCCCGTAAAGGAATGGTGGGGTAAGAAAAGGTTGACCCTAAAAACATACACATCGCTTTATCCGACGAATTTCCGTCTCCGTCGGTGAGGTTTCAACAAGTACGGAGCTAACACAAAAATTACTCACAAAATGGTCGTGTGACCGGCCTCAAGCAGTTGTCCCTTGGGTACTGCGATCACACTCTCAGATCACTAACACCACCCCTAACCCAATTTTTATTTCAGGTACCTCCAGAAGAACCCTTCCACGGTGTGGGAAAGGAAGAAATGATAACCACCTTCATACCTATAATAGCACTCAAGACCATCATATTCATAATCAATTCCGATTATTTCTCCTACTCTGAATATCAAATCAACACTTCCTCCCCGAATGTCACCATGGCCAATGATTCTAATGCGCAAAACACTGTCTCGGGTCCGCTGAAACTTCGACCCAAACTACACGATAGAGTCTTCAATGTACGCACTCTACATCAAATAGGCCAGCACGCCTCCTTGGCTAAGACCTTAGATGTATGTTGCATCTCCAAAATGTGCATACTGGATCCTAGTGCGATCATTCACTTGACCACAATTAACAAAAACGAGGAACTAATGAGATACACATTCTGTCTATCTGGCCGTTCGATGGAAAGTTCTTATGGACTGAAGGGTGTAGGCACAGCACTAAGTATGAAGGAACAACAAGCACTTTTAGAATGGATTCCTGTTAACAGCCGCCTATGTGCTGTTCGGTTAAACAGTTCTATAACAACACGGAAGGAGAGGGATACACATCGTTGCATTTTCGTTATTCCTGCCTACGCTCACATTGACTGCAGTTCGGATAAAGTGCAAGATGAATTTTACAGGAAGTTTTCTGAAATTCTTCTAGCAGCCAAACACTCAGACATAGTACAAGGCGCAGGTAACTTGAATGCTCAAGTAGATAGCTTAAATGGTTTGAATTATTTTTTTCTGGTTAGAGTTGGTGCAAGGTCGTGCATGGAGGACAGCTGACCGACGCATTCCAAATAAGGACCGGAGTCAGGTAAGGGTTTTCTACTCTCTCCTTTTCTCCTTCTTCTGGTGGTCGATTGGATTATGAAGACCTCGACATTTGAGGGAAAACACGGCATACAATGGACAGCTCAAAACCAAATAGACGACTTGGACTTCGCAGATGCCCCCAAATGCCCTGGTACGGCCGAGAGTGGGGAGAGTCCGCTCTCCCTCTCGAAATACTCTCACACGGCCACGCGTATACAGCCTCTGCCAGGGAAGTCCTACTCATTGCCTTCTCGTGGCAGGGGTGTTGTTTACGAAAATTAGAGGACGAAAAGTGAATGTCCGGAGCTTTAACTGGATCCCAAACCAATGGTGCACATGGGCTCCATTATCCTGAGGGAACAAATGGCGTATGAACCAATCGTTGGTCACCGGCTACCATGAGATTGCATCTCATTACGATGTTCCACTGCCTTGTGGGTTAGACCTCTAGGTCAAAGTGATGAGATCAATGCACGTATAGTGAAAGCCAGAGCAGCTTATGCCAATCTGGGCCACCTTTGGCGCATTCGTCATGTCAGTCTGGCCGTAAAAGGTCGGATTTACAAAGCGTCGGTGAGAGCAGTTTTGCTCAATGCTTGTGAAACCTGATCTCTTCGAGTTGAGGATGTTAGACGGCTTTCTGTGTTTGATCATCACTGTCTCCGAAGGATTGCTATCATTCAGTGGCAACACCATGTCAGTAATGCAGAGGTTCGGCATCGTGTGTTCGGGCGCAGAGATGATAATTCAATTGGTGTCACCATCTCGAAACACCGACTTCGGTGGCTTGGACATGTTCTCCGAATGTCGTCCCAGAGAATTCCACGTCGTGCATTATTTGCCGACTCTGGGACTGGTTGGAAGAAGCGGAGAGGTGGTCAGTGCATGACATGGTGTCGTGGCATGAAAGAAAGCTGCAAAGGACTGGCTTGTGTTGGTCCTTCACGACTCCCTGGTTGGGGTCTGAGAGATGGTGCTACACAGTGGCTAGAGACGTTATCAGATATGGCTCAGAATAGAAGCCAGTGGCGATCCTGCTGTAACCTTCTTTTAATTTCTTCATAAAAAGTGGCTGTCTCCCTTACCTGAAAGATTTCCGATTGTACCTTTCCGTTCCCTCAATACTACCACACTACCTCACACCAATCTCTTCGTTATTGTTCTCTTTTTTTTTGCGCTCCTTAGCCTGTTTTTCTATTTCTCATTGTTTTGTGGGGCACATATATGGCGGTGTTCTAACATTTGGCGAAGGGTGAAGATATGATCAATACATCCTCGACCAGAACGAAAACCAGCCTGCTCCTCGTGAGTCAATCTTTCTCGGGTTTTGAACAACCTACGAAGTATGACAGAAGCCAATAGCTTGGACGCAATCGGAAGTAGACTTATCCCCCGATAGTTGTTACAGGAACGACGTGAACCATTTTTAAAGATAGGGACAAATATCGACTCATTCCATGACGTTGGTACACTCTCTAGTTCCCAAACCTTTGTAAACAACGTCGTCAATTCCTTAGTCAGGAAGTCACCATCATCTTTAAAAAGAGCTGGAGGTAGGTCATCTGGGTCAGGTGATTTGTAACGCTTCAAGAGTTGGAGTTCCTTGCACACTTCCGCCTCATTTGGTGGATCAGTTGTCACCGGCCATGGAGGGCAGGACAGTCTGATCGATGTTGCCGGAGCAGCAGGCCAGTTGAACTGCCCTTCGAAAAATTCTGCTTATCAGCCAAGACGTCGATGGATGTTAGTGATTGACATCCCATCATCCTCGCAGATTGTTTCGCTCAGACCAGACTTCTTGCTGCCAGTGGCTCGGATGAGTTGGAAGAGCTTCTTGTAGTTGCTAGATGCAGCTGCTGCTTCCAGTTCATTAGTACGCTCCGACCACCAGGCTTCTCGGTCCTTGTGCAAGCTTTGCCCAATTTCATTACGTAACATCCTTCGGTTATGGTCAAACTCACGGTCACCCGGAGTAGACCGACGGGCTTCAATGAGTTGCAAGGAACCAGCAGAAACCAAGTGCTTATAAGCGGGACGTTTCGCGAACCCACAACTGACTGTACCAGACATTTTCATGGCTTCTTGTAATTGCAACCAATGCCTAAAGGCTAGCTCGGTTCGATACTTACTAGCAACAGAAGTTGCATCCAGCTTGCTAACATCAATCCTTTGGTGGCGGTTACTTCGTTGTCCACTGAAAAGTAAGGCAAGATTGGCGCAGACCAAGGCATGGTCAGAGTCCAGATAGGTACTCCAAAAGCAGCGGCAGTCTTGTACACAACCACGCCAGCGGTAGCTGATCGCGATGTGATCAATCTGAGTCCAGGCTTGGGATGCAGAGGGAGGACGCCAGGTGGCACATCGGCGATGACTGTGCCGAAAGTTAATGCTAGCCACAAACAGGTTGTGGTCTGTGCACAGTTGCAGTAGACGGTCCCTGTTATCTGACCTGCGATCGACGAGTCCCCATCGGCCACCTAAACGACTCTCTTCTGTGCCTAGACGCCCGACCTGAACATTCAAGTCTCCGGCTAGTACTACAATATCTGTCGAACGCACTTTCTGGAGAAGAACAGATAACTGGTGGTAAAACTCATCCTTGATTGCATCCGGGCTGCAATCCGTCGGGGCATAGGCGGAGATGACGAAAAGACATCGTTTCTCACACCGATTTCTTCTCACTTTGATAGAACTTTCCAATAGAACAGCACATGACCGACTGTTAATAAGGATCCAATCGATTAGTGCTGCCTCAGCCCTAGCGCTTAGTGCGACACCAACGCCAGCAAGACCAGACGAAGAAGCCACAGGGTCCCGGATACGCGCATGTAAAACAAGCTTTTTGAAGTGACAGATGTAGAGCGAATTTGTAGTACTTCACCAGAGTCTTGAATACGGGTCTCGGATAGACAGCAGACATCGATATGAAGACTTTCCAAAGACATAGCCAGCCCTATCTGTTGTCCGTCCTGCATAAGTGTGCGAACGTTGAAGGCAGCCAGTTTGAATGGCGCACGTGGTTTCAGAAAAAATGCTTCAGTACTCATATTCGGTGGTAACATACAATTTTCAACCGGACAGTGACTTGAGAACGTTTAGATACAGTCGAATTTCCACCAAAGACGAGCCACTGTATAAGTATAAAAGAGGGTGAATAATGTGAAAAATAATAATAATAATAATAATAATAATAATATTAATATTAATAATGATAATAATAATAATGATAATGATAATAATAATAATAAATAATAATAATAATAGTAATAATAATGACAATAATAGTAATGATAATAATTTGAATCACTTGATAGACAGAGTAGGAATAAAAGAGAGTGAATAAATGATGTAATAAATAATAACAATGGTAATAATAATAATGTGAATCGTTTGACTAATAGTTGAAGCGAGAAAAGTAGTGTCCATAGATATAGAGAGTTCATCATTTGCGTGTGGGCTGTGATACTGTCCGGGTGCCCAGACCGAAGCAGGTGGTTATCTTAGGGGGCCACACACCGAGCCTTCGACTTAAAGGTCTGATTCGCAAGGTAGTTGAGCATCGTAAGGAGATGCAGTCCCATAGAAACCGGTGACCAACAATTGTTTCATACGCCATTTGTTCCCTCAGGATAATCGAGCCCATGTGCACCATTGGTTTGGGATCCAGTTAAAGCTCCGGACATTCACTTTTCGTCCTCTAATTTTCGTAAACAACACCCCTGCCACGAGAAGGCAATGAGTAGGACTTCCCTGGCAGAGGCTGTATACGCGTGGCCGTGTGAGAGTATTTCGAGAGGGAGAGCGAACTCTCCCCACTCTCGGCCGTAACAGGGCATTCGGGGGCCTGTGAAGGCTCTTTACTCGAACACTACCAGTCGAGTCAGAGTTTATGGCGAACTGTCATCTGCTTTTGCAACCTCAAGTGGTGTCCGTCAAGGCTGTCCACTATCTCCATTTTTGTTCAACTTCATCATAGACATATTGATGGATATAATGTTCTCGTCGACTGAATTTTCGGGGATTGATCTCTTTCCAGGAGGTTCACTTATCGACTTAGATTACTAGTATTTGATCCCAGATGTCTTAGAAATATTGCTCACATCTGCTGTTAACACTGGGTAATTAATAGTGAGGTTAGACGCAGGGTATTATAAAATGATGGTAATTCAGTTGACGAGGTTGTGACTGAGATGGTTGGGCCACATATTAAGCATGCCCAATTACCTACTACCACGGCGCACAATAGTGACTATTGTTGGGGACCGTCAAACCAAAACGTGGTATCAGTCCATGAAGTCACTAACTTCTGATCTGAGCCATGTCGGTAGATGCTGACTATTTGGTGGGGTTCGCGCGACTATCGTGTCCTTATATGCAATCTTTTTTTATACATATTGCTACCATTGAAGTAACTGCTTTTATGACTTTGGTGGTCATTTTTTGTGCTAATGAAGTATGAAAACTTGGACCGATGGATATATGTGCCTGATCCTGCGTTGTAGCTGACTGAATGACTGTATTTATTATTTATTTTGATAAGCGGATAGCCAGTAAAACATCACCATGGATTTATAAATCTCGTCAGATATTGACGGGTTCATAATACTCATAGAACAGATAAGTATATACATATTAAAAAGACTTGAGTTTTGAAGTCAATAGGCGAACTGTACTCGACTCCACATGGGTATAACTTTACTGATGTGTTCAGAGAATCAACAGTGCATCATAGAATTATGTAAATATCAGACTACAAGGGAGGCGTATTGATAGAAAAGGTGAATTCAACGATATACCTGACCCCAACAGAACACTTGAAGTAATGTTGATTAAGATAGAGTTGGTCGCAAGAGGATATACCAAAAAAAGATAAGTAAATAAATGTAAATCTTCAGGCAACTGAGTTTTGATATTCCAGGATAAAACCAGCTGATGATCAAATTGTGAGCCAATAGGGTATTTATTATGTATGATCAGCCACCACTAATCTCGATTCGCGATGTTGGGTAATGTGTGAATTAGAAGAAAGTTAGAAGGTGCCCAAACCGAAACGTGACACCAGTCCATGAATTTATTGACGGTTGATCTGAGTAACGGTGGTAGATATACATTACATAATCGGGGTCAGCGCGATGATCGTGACCAATGGTTTGAGATATTGGGTGACAGTTACAACACTGCAGATGCATTCACTCTTACCTCCTCAGTTTCAAAACTATCCCATACTTTATGTTCCGTAAGCTAATCATTCTCGAAACATATTTACTGTGTCTAATCTTCTCTACAACCACTGGTAATACTACTTCATTTCCCATTCTGAGAAATATCATGATAATTTCGTCTTACTGTCCTGATGTAATATGACAACTAGAATCGATGGATATTTTGTGCTAAGTTCTATGATGCTTATGACTGACTAATTAACTGAAACATTTAAACCTTTTAATTAGATAATATAATAAGCACGGTTCATTAAAGGAATTTTCTGTTCTGATAGTTAAAAGCTGATGAACAGTAACATACCATTTCCTCTGCTCTACCAACAGTTGGTTCAGCTTGATAGTAACCAATTAAAGATTCACATGCTTTTTTTGCTTCATTTGATAAAATGAACCTGTAAAAAATATTCCAGAAAAACCAATGACAATTTAATATTTCTTGTGAGACTATTAAAACAGCAATTGGGCAAACGTCAATTAGTTTGAGACCACACAGTTTGTCCTTGACTATCAAACACCCTTGGTTGCTTTCATGTTTTTTATAAATATATATAAGTATAACCGTATGTATAATAGGGAAACCTGATAGATATAATTGAAACCAATGTGGTTTGACTATATGTCTTGTTTAAATTTACAAAAAGGGAATCTTCAGAATGGGAATTTGTGAAGATTGTAGTAATTTAATAGTTGAATTCATGAGTCGATTAAAGCTAGAGTACCATGGAAAACCTGGAAGGACTGAACGGCCATTTCGTCCGAGTATGGGACTCCTCAGCAGTGCGCATCGACGACCCCGCGCGCGAACGCTTGACCTCTAGACCACTGAGCCAGCATTTAACGGTGTTTATGTCTAACTTCAATCTACAATATGGCGCGGTGAACGACCAACTTTTTTATAACTTGTAGATAAACATTTTTCGAGTATTTTATAAAATTTATTTCCCAAACTTTCTAATTTTATTAGAATCACGAACCCATCAATGTTAGACCATCAGTGAAAACATGAAAATACTGGACAGTCGTTTCGCCATAATGTGGGACTCCTCAAAAGTGTGAGTCAACGACTCCGTGAGTGGAAATCAAAACCCAAACTTTCGGTTTCAAACGTAAGCTTTTAACCTCTGAATCGCTGAACCGGTATCCAACGATGTTAATGTTTAACTCCAATCTACGATATGGCACGGCCACCTAAGTTTTCAACTGTGGTCTAACATTGATCGGTCTATGATTGCGATGATGCCCGACAGTCTCCATAACCATATACTTTTATTTTTACTGTTTCTCGATGTTTTTAGAGGAAATATTCTCAATTCATGAAGAAATAATTTGCCGACAAACTTTTTGAAAAAAAGTCGAAGTTATGGATGCACTGGAACTTAATTGAACAATACAATTGAACAGTTAAAACACATAGATACTCACTGAATCTACATTTAACGCATGGATAAAAAATAAATAACTAGATATACCAGCTTCTACTGTTATTAAAAGCAAAGAACGAGGACTGATAACTGATTAGGAATTAAAATAACGTTTTACAATTGTTTAATCACTGAGTTTTAACCAATATCACTTTTCTCTGGTCCTTCCGTACTGATTAAACCACATCGATCAAGTTGCAATGCAGCACCACTAGTCTAATTAACTTGAAATCCAAAGCAACACATATTGAGACAGACTGGGTGACACTGGTCTGAGTTTAACAGGGAGCATACGTTCCATAAAAATTACAGGTTTACCTTATTGATGAGTCCCAAACAGCATGAAACCTAGGTCCAGAGATCCCTGTCGAATACTTCGAACAACATAACTCGTTAAAGTTATATAGTATTATTCCATAAGCAGGGGTTTTATTTTATCATTATGAATGAGATTTTAAGCTTTGAAACACTGATCTAGGTTGTTTCAAAATCTCCTTACCGGTAATTACGTACAGGAATCCAAGAGACAGCAGTAGGTTTCAGAATTTCCATACTATGAACTCTGAAATACAAATAGATGACATTTAGAAATTTAAACACTTTTCAAATTAAAGGTTAGGTAGAACTGAATATTTCTTGATTGGATAACTCAATTTGATTTAATAAGATACAAATCATCATACAATTTATGAACAAGCAAATTGAAGCATTAATTAATTTGATATTTTTCTAAACAGATTATTCAGTACTCGGTTGCTGCAGACGTCGGATGCCTAAATATAGTATATTAGGAAGAAAGCAAGCTTAAGATAATGTAATGATTAATGTGTCTTTCGTTCATTTGATTTTCACACTAATTCAGTTTGACCTTCCTTCAGTATAATATTTATCAGTATTAGCTCAGCGTAACAATTTCGTTAATCAATAATTAATACGGGTAATTCTGCATACAAATAAGCGAATTCGAATGGTGGAATAATCTTCTTTGATTTTTGTCTATAAAATCTTTCCAAGATTTTATTTGGTAGTGAGAGTTAGAAGTAAGAAGGAGCTGTGGTATCATACAGTAAAACGTTATCACTGTTAGCGCAAAACATATCACCAGTAGAAAAACAGAAGCCAATTACATTTTTTAAATGAAAATGGGGTTTGGGTTTTTTTTATTTAACCAAATAGCTAGCCAGAAAACATGACTGAGAAAGAAAACTCAAGCATCTGTTTCATCAGATTATGGGACCTTTAAGTAGTGAAGTTGTGACATCTAAGGTCTATGGAATTTAAAAACGAGACAACAGCTCACTATTATCCGTATTCAGGTTGTTTAGTGACTAATAGTGATTCATTATGAGTGCTATTACATAAAAAACATCATGTAAAAACCTACTTAAAACATGCTGATGAGATTCGGAGAACCAGATTACTTTTGCTATTGTCGTAACCCTTTTGAGATACTATAGTAAAGCTGTAAGCTGCTCGAATGATGCATACCATACTATGCAGTTATATTAAGTCATGTAGTGCACTCATCTGTCTCCATGTAAGATCACTAGTTTTATAATAATGACTTAGAAAAATGAAACAGCTACTTTTAAAGCCAATTCTTTGCACAAATGAAATAATCGGAATTACAGCAACTATACACATAAAGGCCTAAAGACTTTATTTATCATCTTTACTATATCCTCGTAATAGTCGGTTTAATCAGGAAATGATGGCAATGCATGATGAGGTGCTAATAAACGCACGAAAGCCAAATTTGAAATGAATACCCCAAGAAACGAATGTAGAGGCATCAAGTTATCCATTCGAATAAAACTTACTAACTAATTACTGAATATTTGAAAGTTCGGCTCCTAAAACCACCGAGTTTTCGCTTCATAAATTTATGACATCAACGTTTAATGTGACACAAATGTGTCTACATTTTTTATCAACTAATCCGTTCCCTCACCAAAAATATTCTTAAAGACCGGGATGATTACATATTCAAGTACACTTCAGGTTTATGTTTCCTTTGAGTGAATAAAGTATAAAAGGTGTAAAATAAGTAATCTTTATGATGACACTTGTTGATTAGTGATTGGTTGTTTGTACATCCCATATATCTTATCAAAGTTGCTACACTAAAGTAAATAGTATTGCCTATTGTGACAAATGAATCAAGGTGTGTTCGTTGAAAACACAATCCTTCTGATTTTGTTGTTTCATACAGGTCTCTTACTATTAGGTCCAGATACTGCCTATCCACAGATAAGAAGGAACGGAAAATACTGACCTGAGAAGACCGTACCTCCCTATTGCTCCATTAATTTCTAGTCCCAGAGGTAAGGCCTGTAAACTAGAGAGTTGGTTAATTGAAAGGTACAGACAAAAACGTCCTTATAACGTCTCTTAAGCCAATATACCTTAGGTTTGCTCTATAAGGTCAAAAAGCCTTCACTTCTAATTTGAGTTGTTTTGAAATCCCTCAGGAAATAATCATAACAGGTATGGATAACCGCCTGAACACATGTAACAGAACTTTAATTAGTTTTTGATCACAGTACTATTTATATAGCGATGATGGTAGCAGTTATCGAACAGAACATACCTTAATAATGATAAAAAATGAGAGACAAGAGAATGAGGATTTAATGAAGATACTTACTTGGAATATGATGGTTTTGGAACTGACTCGGGGAGTTTTGCAGTTTGTCCATGAATAATAGGTATTAATACGGGTGGCGTAGTAGGAGGATCAGAAGTCAATGGGTTAGATAAACCAGAACTATGGCGCACTCTGTGATCAGATTTCAAATTAATAAAATCAGGGGAAAGAGGAAACCCGGGAGGTGAATTTACTCGAAATGGGGATAGCATTTTATCTGGCAAAGTAGAAGGATCAACTTCTTCAATTTCATCACCGATATGATGAAAAACTTCGACGGTTGGTTGGAATTCTTTTATAACATGAGTACTTCCTAAATCAACACTTTTTGACATAACATCCTGGAATGCAGTCTGCCCACCAGAACTTAGTTCATCTAGATTTACTTTATCCGAGAGTATATAACGTTGTGAAAGTTCATCGACCATACGTCTTTCAGTAGATACAGTATAACCCTCAGAATAACTCGATGTACATGAAGGCAGTCTCGATAATGGAATCATTGTTTGGCTTAACCTTGGAGAATCACATCTCGATGGTCTAGTAATGCAAACAGAATTCGAATCATTTGTCTCTTGAATACTTGGAAGTTTTTCAGTCTTCTACAAGAAAATCGAAAAAGTTATGTAAATAATTATATCGTTAAAAGACAGCGGATATTTCGTAGGAACTGAATATTAGGGACTATGAAACGTAACTTGGCGTATTTTTTTACGTCTAGTGACTGGATTATTTCTAACTTAAATGAATAATGGTTTACTTCGAAATCAATATACGTACTCTTGATATGTTCGAGTGGATAACGATGTCGATTAAATTATTCTTCAATTCTATAGAGAAATAAAAATTTATATCACAGTGTTTACTAATCAGTCATAATCAATGTGCAACCAGATACAAATGTTCATCACCTCAAGTTAATAAATCATTTCAACAGAGACATAAAATTAACAAGATAAATTGCGCACAAGTCGGAATAAAAGTATCAAAAACGATGACAAGATCAAACATAGAAAATACGGTTCGGAAAAAAGGAATTAAATAAGGAAAAAGGAAAACACTATCTTGAAACCTAAAGAATGGATGGATACGAGCCATGACAATAGACTTATAAGCAATGTCACAAGTTCAGTTACTGTCAGTCTTGCCACAAGATCCCAATATTGGAAATCGGTGAGTGTCATATATGTGTAACGGTATGTGCAGGTTCTTCATAAAGCAATTAATGACACAGGAAATGCATGTATGAAAGTAGTTTAAATTTAACAAAACAAGCTCTACAGAAGATCGGGATTCAAACAGATACGTGTAACGATAAAGAATACAGTAAGAGAGTGGAACGGCTTAAGTTACCACGCTTTGTAACATAATAGATTTAACAAAAGGATAAAAATAGTAGACGGAACAGAAACGAAATGCCAAAGGATAGTAAAGACTTTGAGATTTAGAAGAAAGGACGATCCATTTGTTCTGCTGTGATACTTTCTAGCAGCTTACAATTACCTACAAGTCCTGTAACAATAGTCAACAATCTCATGTTAACGAAATTTCTAATCTAGTCAACCTTAACATATTTAAATCCTAATCGTCATACATTTCTATTGTCCATAGTATGAAGCAGATTAGCGTGTATGATACACGCCTCACATCAAGTGTTCCGTCTTTGTGGATGTTTACAATCTCATGTTATTTACCTGTACGAGAAGTCTCAGAACAATATAGTGGGGTAAATAAGACTACTAACCAAGATAAGTGCCTTTCGATATGTACATGGATACTTCGCTAATTGGGCAGATTCGGAGGGTTTCAAAAAGAGATTCAGTATCTGCATTAAAATTTAGATAGATGAGCATGAGTGTAAACCGATACTTAAACAAAACAATGCGACAATTAGAACTAATGCAAGACGCATACAAATTATATATTTAGCAAGCCTGAGAACAGCGACTAACCTCAAAGGATTCTGTAGATCGGTAGGATTTTACTATGATATCCTTTTTATGTAAAGGAACGTCAGTGACCATTTTGCTGCACTCAAGTGTTTGTGTTGATGATGCGATACGTTTTAGTTCAGGATATATTGGATCACAAGCCCTATGAACCAATTCTACATTGTTTTCGTATTGTACACCACATGTAGTAAAACTTCGTAAATCCTTTTCTGGGGAGGTACCTTGACTACGTAAGACGGGAGACTCTGTTAGACATCCAGCATTAACACCCAGATGACGTTTTGTCATAGTACACCGACTGTTTAAAACAGGCATGGCCTGGACAAACTCAGAGACCTGTGACTGAAGGGACTGACCGACTAAGTTAGGGTTCGAGACTGTTTTTTCTATTTCCTTCAGGATAGGTGAACAACCACGAGATTGGCTGACCATTTGAGATTGAATACCCACGTGACAAACAGACTTTTTAATAATTGATAACAAAGTACTAACGAATTCTTCACGACTTTCATAAAAGCTTCGTATAACTTTGTGTACAATCTTCTTATTTTTGTCTTCCATTTTTGGGAAAACTCGATTCAACCATTCTTTAGTCATCGACTCGGTTTCATAAAAAAGGCAGCCAAATTCGCGTGTTTCTGGTTGTGAACAGAGAACTCCAACTTCCTGAATGGATGGACAAACATTGATACCAACGCATCTAAATTCGGACGATTTGACAGGACAAGCCATAGTAGCTGTGGTGCGTTTATTAGCTTCCGATGACTGCATGGCAATTTTATGAGTAAAAGGTCGTTCCGATAAAAAGCGTTTGTAGAAGTACGACTCCAGTTTAGACCAATATTCCGAAGGAAACTGGCTCTTGTCGATCCCGTTATTCAGGTTACCAATGTGATTTGGACTAGGAAGGTCATTAGCAACAGGGTCAGTTTTAGGAGCCTTTTTATATGTTCGGACTTCCTCTTCAACGATTTCTTCTACTTCTTCATCAGTGCTATCAATGTGTTCACCGTTTTGAAATCTATAGGACTCTTTAATTTCATCTTTCTCATGAAGGCGTACGTTTTCTTCATACAAATAACGTAAATTGTCCTGCAGAATAGGAACTTGACTAGCCTCCTCCTCTAAGTTTCTTATTTGTTTGTGCAATTCATTAATTTTTGACTTATAACTTTCCTCAACATTTGATGTATATTCTGGAAGAACTGGAGAATCATTTACCGTTTCATCAATATAGTCAGGTCGGGATTCAGACTGCTCTCCACGAACTGATATACACGTCCCATAAATAAAAAATTCGTCCTTATCTTCGTTATGAAATTCAGGCAAAGTATACATGCCTAGGTTTTTATCTAGAGACTGATTTACTCTGAATGAGCTATACGATGTGTTGTTAGAAATAGGAGATATGTCAGGAAATCCATGATCCCAGTCGAAATGTCGTTCAGGATCTTCCATTTGAGAGAACAAATTTCACTATTTAGTTTCAAACTAAAGTTAGAAAAAAACTAATTAAAAGTAAATAATGTTGAAAATTGGTCCAATACATAAAACGTGTTGTAAATACTATGACCAGTGAGTGGAGTAAGACTATAATTTGAGGACGAGACACTTAGACTTAAGATGAAGAACCTTGGTTTCTAGCAATGGATTCACTGATCCAAATGGTCAAACAACATTTTGGAACTATAAATTATATGGGCTTGTGATGAAAACCCATACTTCAATTCCTAATCCTGACCCCTCATAGTAACTCATAACCCCTTTTTGACCCTAATAAGTAGGTTTTTTTAATCAGTTCAGCGTCGTTCGAAGGTCGTCCATAAATCACAGGCTTATCCTATTTTGCTGGGTGATTTACTGTTTACGATATTTCTTAACATTTGTATATGTTCGCTTAGACAATACACATCTATTTTATAAAAACTACTTCCAAAACCGTTTGTTACATAAGTGTATTTAAAAGCTTTATATGACAACATACTACTATGGAAGTGTGTTGTTTTCAGACAAAGCATTAATCTGACTTTTCTTAGTTTTAATTACCATTGACATATGTTTATAAATGTCACTAAGCTAACTACAACAACGTCACCATCATGTTCCCAACTGTAGTGCTATAGGTCATGTTTAAAATCTTTAATTCTACAGTCAAGTTTTTCAATTTTTATAATCCATATCAACTTACACGCGACCTAATTTACACGTACATTATAATGTCCCTATGCCACTTGAATTAAGCAATTATTTGAACCGTTATCAACATTTTCACTAAACCCATCATAGTCGTTAATGCTACAGGTATTCAGATTTATGAGTTGAGTTGTCACATTATTCGCCTAAAAAGACATTGAACGCAGTTCAAATAAAGTCGCCTCATTAAGATATCGCACTATTTATTGATTTATTTTAACACATAGATATTGGTACAAGGAGGGGGGGCTGTGATAATGCCCGGGTGCCCAAACCGAAGCAGGTGGTTTTCTAAGGGAGGCACACTTGGTATATAGCACTGCACTGGTATAATAAAAATATCACGTGGTAGTCAGTCAAATAAGCAATCAGAATAAACTTCAGAGTTTACTACTAAGATTAATACTAAGTAGACGAATATTTCTGGACCTAAATTTGGATTACAATCTGGCAGTTCAAACTCGTTAATTCTACAAACTTCTGATAATAACGAATAATCTAAAACAACAGAAGGCGATTGCATTTCTATGAACTGTCTGGAAATCTTAGTCATATCCTTGAAACAACCTTTCTCGAGAAACATGGTGAAGTGCTTGTACGACAATATAACAGGAGGTTGGTAATAGACTGAAAATTATCACGATTTTGACTGAAAAAAAACCTACAAATATGTAAATTGGTAAATGCCGCCATACTCCTAGGTAGAAATAGAAGTATCCTAGAACGTACATGAAAATCACCGAAAATCAAAGTCATGATAGCCTGCTACAGATTTACTCGGACAAAGTACTGTTAAAAGTACTTGCGAAAGAAATCTCGCAAATAAAACAGAAACTACTTAAGAAGCTAGACATAAAGTTCAACCACGTACGAGCCGCATATACAAACTTTGGTTAAAGCCAAAAACTAAGCCAACTGTAATTCAATGGTGTAAATCGCTGAAAAACAATAATGTTTTGATTTCTTAAATAATAAACACAGTAACTAGACACACAGTACGTTTAGTGTCTTCATGAATATTTAGTACACGATAAATTTACGTAGAAAAAAATATATTGTCATCTTAAAAATATCTGACCTTACGCGTTTTATCCAAACGCTACAACAAAACAATCGAACCTACAATGCATCCCAAGTGCCCGCTAGCAAGGATCTGTATAAGGGACACATGTTAACTTAGATAAACACATTTTCCCTGATGTCGCTGTAAACTTGATTGATGAAAGTATTTATCGATATATAGTACTTTGTTCTCAGTCTTCAAAAATATCAGCACAATTATGATAACCTCAAAATTATTCAGTCCACAAAAACGCCAATTTTGCGGTTCGTTCGAAAGTGTAGAAAAGCATAGAAAATATGACAATAGAATCTAATAAAATGAAAGATATTTTGTTGCTTAAAATGACTTCAAAGTATGAAGACCCACGCCTATGGATAGACAACTACCTAGCAAACCCATCAGTTTCTGAAACTGAAGTTAATCACCTGAGATCTGTTATGCAAAGGGATCAAGCACTCAAGAAGGCAGATAGCGAGAGAATCTAGTGAGTTTCGAACAACCTTTGTGTATTCGTATGAAAATGAAAAAGTTTTTATATGTACGAAATGGTCTGAAGTAGTTTCCCTTTGCATGAGTTATATTGTTAGCTGCTATAATGTATGATGATAATTTTAACATCCATTCAGCATACTATGCAGTCCGTCAATCTAACTTATAGCTCACTTTTTACTTTTTACGGTACTTTGCTCCCTGTTCTGTCTACCAATAATCAATTATTAGAAAATGCTTAATACAGTAACAAATAAAGACAATAACTTGAATTTTGAGGTACAAACTGACAGCAAAATAGCCTGAGATGGTATGAGGCGCACTCATGTTGTTTAGAACTACTTCTAAACTACTAATGAAACGACGTGATCATACATACATTGACTTTAGATGTAGTTATTCACTAAAATACACTATTAAATCTTTAATTTGAAGGGTTATTAGAGATACAAGATTTCGTCAAATTGCCTATCCTTATGCATCTCTACCAAGCAAGACTAAAGCTTACTACCTTCAAACAGGCAGTGTAGTCTTTTTTACTCAGAGTACTCTTCGGTAATCATGCTCTTCTAGAACAATTTATTTTTGTGATAGTAGAACATGATAAACACAATGATATAAAATGTGATTCAAGAAAATATTGAGAAGCTGTTTCAAATTAGTTTACAATTATCTTTGTTTGAACTTCAATAAAGATCGTCGACGATAACTCATTCGCCTTCATAGTGTCGAAGAAGATAACTGGAAAGAGCAGAGTGATACGTGGATCTGATCGTACTGTGAAAATCCTGTTATAGAAATCCTCAACCATGCTGTTTTCTCAACCAAAAAGTAGCTCACAACTGACAAATGGACATTTATAAATAGTACTATAAGAAAGTTACATGTCACCTATCTTATAAGGAATGTAGGCCTAATTCCGCTTGAATCGGCGAATGAATATGGACCTCAATGTTTTAATATCTCTTTGGTTTTAGAAGTTCTGTAATCATAATTCTTAGGCCATATGATTGTGAAAAGATTTATAGCTCGGCGGGTTGATTATGGTTCGATTCCATCTTCTGAACAAGAAAATTTGATCGTGGAGCTTTCAATGCTCTTCTGAACAGCATCAGTTCAAACTTCAGTTGGAAGTAGATTATTCGACATTCTCCACATACGGCTAACAGACTGTCCAGTAATGCTCCTGTGTCAGTTTCGGTGATGCAGACATCCAAGAATGATTTTTTATTGTTCGTGCACTGTTTCATTCCAAAATTCTTGTCACTGAGGGCGTTGCTCACCACATCGTGTTTGTTTTCTAGCTCATCCTCTTTGACAAGAAATGTGCCGTGTTCATAACAGATCCACAATTTCGGCTTGGTCTCTGGAAGAATCAAGGCTTCCAGTGCCTACATCACCGCTTATGCAATCAGCCCTAATATAGATTGTCCTACTAGAGCTCCTTTTCGACAGTTGATTTGACAGGTTGACAACACAACTGCTTCTGTTTTCTTCTGTGCATAATTCTTAAATCCTTATTGGTTTTTCTTTGATAGTGTTTCATCTTTGTTCCTTGTATCATCTGCTTGATAACTCATTTGCCGTTGTCAAATGTTTTGGTGTAATTATTTTCTCCATGTCGCCCTTTTAACTATCTACATTGTGTTGGTATTTGCTGATCCTGTAGTGTTAAGGCTGTTGTTGTTGTCGAGAGATGGAGATATTTTAGGTTGCGAGTAATGAGGTCGGATCAGTAACTTGGCGAACTTCTTGTCAATCCTATTCATGATGAAGGACGCAGAATTTGTTTCTCAGTCATTATCCATATAGAAGAAACGAAGAAATTTGAAGTTGTCTAACAATCAAACTTGAGGAGAATTTGTAGGATCAGTGATATGTCACAGAGCCGTAGCCAAACCATCTGGTAGATGAGTCACTGAATATCGAACAGATCATCGATTCTCGTCAAGGTCAATGATGACCAACGCTCATCAGTTAATCGTATGCCATGAACTGGCCTATTCAAGGGTCTCACTATCTTTAATGTACTCATTCTTACTGATGTATTTCCGCAGTAACGCCCTATGTGATGTACGGTTTTCCGTTTGCCGACTGTAAGTTTAAAACCGGTGTGTGCAATCGATCTCTGGGATTCGCTGCAAGAACTCTAACTTCGGCGCCAGTATCAATGAGGTAGCGAACTCCCGTAGTCATATCAGTCACTGAAAACAGACGTCTGTGCTCGCCGGCTTTGGTTGCCGTTAACGTATGCCAGCTGGGAAGTTTACTGAAACGTTCTTCATATCGGTCGGTTTGAAGTTTGTAACATTGCAATTCCGAGCAGACTTTCCGTAGTGATTATGATAACAGGACCAGTCGCGGATATCTGTCTCTCGTCATCTAGAGACAGATAGCTTTCGTGAAAAACTCCTTTGAAGGGTTTGTGGTCGTTTACGGTCATTACGAATCCGTAGGTTACGTGTCAGCGTACGACAGAGTCCGGTAATGTCATTGCGTGTCGTTTGAGTTTTTTCTTTGATTGAAAAACCCTCAGCGTTAGAAGATTTGGTGATTTTTAAAATACGACCGGTAGATGCAACCAGCTCGTTTACGGCGTTGTTTTGCAATGACACACACTGCTTGAACTTCTTGAAGAAGTTAAGACAAGAAAACAGACCATTATAAAATGTGAAACTGTCGGCAATTTAAAATGAGCCCAAACGGGAGGAATTTCAGTGATGCACCACAGTTGAATCGATAACATACGATATTTTCTGTAAAATAACGATGAAAACTGTACAGGTCAATATGGATGAACAAATCTAATTACAAATGATTTATAATATGCCCGAACAATGCCTTTTATGTTAGGTAAGGTCATTGTTACGAGAACAATCACGTAAAATCTTCTAGGTACGGTCAGCTATTAAACATAAAGAATGTGCAATAATTACTTAGCAACGAGGTTTCTAAGAACATGAGAATATTGACCCATTCCAGAAAAGCCTAAACATCACCAATTAAATAACTTGAAACTGAGCTATTAACTGTTCAAAACAATAAACCTTAGCAACAATTAAGGAACCAAACACCCCTTCCTCCAGCAACACAGTCAGTTGAATCAATCACGATCTATCAGAAACGCTACGTATAGCTTTCATATATTGAATAAATTGAAATTACAAGGGTGAAAAGATCTTTAAAACTAAAAATTCAGAATCCTAAAATGCAAAGCTTACATTTGAGTATTCACATCTCAAAAGTATAGGAATTATTGCACGTAACCAATAATAATAAAAGCAAAACACTGTATATATGACATGCGACTATGAGTGGATTCGTAACTTTCTACAACCAAGACCGGATGAATTTCACCAAAACCAAAGATTCCCAGAAATGATATTATTACTTTCCGTCACATACTTTGATAAGCATCAAACCTTGGTAGTTCATTGTATCACAGAAGTATCATAATAATTCAAATATCAAGTAAACTTTGTTCGGTGCAATAGCTAAACCAAAATATTGATGTCTTTAGGATTACTAAGGCTACCTAATCTTCTTAAGACTGATCGCAAGGAAGAACATATGTGATGAATTGTATTATTCAGACTACCAAAAGCTACCTGGGTACAATAACAATAAATTGTACAATTGACAGTTAGCAAACACCAAATGCCATGGAATCTATAAATTATAAAGTTTAAGAATAAAAGCCGATCCACTTCTTAGCGTGTGACTCATTACCCTGTAACAAATTAGTTACCAAAACCGCTGGTAACATTATTGCCCACCATATAACACGATTTTGAAAGAACCTAAAAGTATCAAGTGGAAATACACCCTCTTCCTTGAAAGCCAACCACGTTAGATTCAACAAACTAAGGTAAATTAAGATAAACAAACGAACACCTGTAGGGTTTCTCGGTCCTACTGTTTTAACATATTTCTCTCATCCAGTTTTTACCCGGTATAGGAGTCACACTCAAAATCAAAAATACTGTTTCTCCAGTTGCTTGTATTTTGTTCATCCATCTGCTGATATTCAAGAACTATGTTTTGAGGCATTTGGTAATAGTGTTGCTTGGTTTTCTCTTGACAAGTCACCATTCCTTTCATTTATTTTTTTCCATTTATTTTCGTATCAAAAGTCTGAGTTTACAGAAGTTCTTTAAAATTTATCATTTTACCAAATACTCTACTTGTATTGTCTGATAAAATTTGGTTGTGTTGTAGATGAAAATTCTCGTTTAGTTCTGTTTGGTTTTGCTAAAACTTAATTCATATCGCGGTTGACTAGAGGAAATACGTGTTTTAATCAAATCAATTTAGAATTAAACACAATATCATATTTATGTAACAACTATAATCCACAACATTTGTACGCATCTGCCCGTAAGTATGATAAAAAACCGACATATATCTAACTAATAATATTAACTGATGTAGACATAGCTTAAGAAGCTTATTTTCGGAATAACGTGAAAAAATTCAATGATTTCCACAACTGCTTTATAGTTGAACAGGATAGACAGGAAGTGAAAATATCTAAACATTGTGTATAGAGTGTTCACTTATGTAAACCGGTGTGTGTGTGTG